ACTGTCATGCCAGAAGTCTAGTGAGGCAGTGGTACTTTGTGTATATTAATGGTCACTGTCACAGAATATTTCCTCCTTCTGTGTTTAATTACAGAGGTGTGTCTTGAAGTCCCACAGACTTCCCTGGAGGTGGGGCAGCTGTATTGCACTCTGGGTTCCAAATTTGCTGGATCCCCCTCTGGGCTCTGACTTCCTGCCAGGCGGGACCAGGCTTATGGGGGCCTTCAGCCCACCTCTGACTGTGCAGGGAACCTTCTCCCTCTGGCTCTGCGGGGAGCCTCCTGCCAGTTTCAAGCAGTCTTTATTGAAGAAAGGTCCCTGTTCTAAAATGGCGATGTGGAGATGCACTCTCCTAAGCACCCAGTCTGCGCAGGCCATGGGTGCCCACTTCCCCTCTGGGCTCGGACTGCTGGCCAGAAGGGGCCTAGCATGGGCGAACTTCCCAGCTCACCTCTGGCTCTGCCGGAAGCCTTCTTCTGGTTTCAAGCAATCTTTATTAAAGAAAGGTCCCTGTTCTAAAATGGCAATGTGGATATGCACTCTCCTGTGTGCCTGGTCTCTGCCTCTGCTTCTCTTGAGGAATATCTCAATACTGCAGTCATGGCCCACAGAGGTCAATAATGCAACTTATAACAATGTAACATAATGCAGGTGCTCCATCAGGCAGGGTTTTCCAAATGGCAGGAGGGCAGAAAAGCCTGAAAACCATTTACCCTACAGGTGGTGAGTGCAGTGTGGTGACATTCATCTGAGGAGATATGAACTTAATCCCCTCAATCATATGCTATGTTGTAAACCAATGTTACCTCAGTTTAAAAGAAATAGAAACAGAGACAAAATATACCAGACAAACATTAACCAAGGGAGAATCATAACAGTTATATTAGTGTTTGGAAAAGTAAAGAAAATTTTAAAAATGGTTTTAAGAAAAAACATTTTTAGAGATGGCATAAGAGAAAGAAATCAAATACTTATTGTTCAGTGCATAGGATGATATGCCATAGAAATTTAAAGGTATGTAAGGCTATATTCTTTCAATTCATAAAAAAATTATTGTATTTCATATAGTAAGAAATTAATAAAATTAATTGCATTTTTATGTATACCAACCAGTCAAGAGAAAAACAAACAAGCTTTATTTAACAACAACTAAAAAAATTGACTAAGAGTAAGTCAAATGAAGTGTTTGCAAACTGTTATTGAATATCATATAAAACTTTATTAAAAGACTCTAAAGAAGACAGAATAAGAGAGAGATGTAACAGTTGTCACACAAAAAGATGCAGTATTTTAAAGATCAATTCTCCCAGAAGTGACCTATATATTTAATATAATTGTATTGAAAAAACTCTACAGTTTTTTTCAAAACTAAAAAAGTTGATTCTAAATTTATGTGACTAAATAAATAGCCAATAATTGCCAACACATCAAAAAGATAAAACTGTGAATTTTAGCCTAATATTTACCAGCACATATCTCAGCACTGTGATGATGAAGCCAGTCAATATGAGAAACACACCATGGATCAATGATTAGAATTGAAAGTCCAGGAAATAAATCCACATACATATCTATGACAAAGCAGCCACAACCATATAATGGCAAAAAGAGAGCCTCTTCAACAGGTATATTGGGAATAGCCACATGTAAAAATGAAGTTAGAGCACTCTCTAACAAAATAAATTCCTAATCAGTTAAATATTTAGATATAAAACCTGCAACAATAAAATCTATAGAAGAAAATATTGGTGATTTGTTTCATGACATCAAAGATAAAAATGTTTTTGTTTCCCTTCCCCTATGGCAAGGGAAATAAAAGCAAAGTAACCAACTGAAGAGTACATCAAATTAAAAAGACTTTTGCACAGCAATATACATAACTAGGTTAAAAACAGCCTGTAGAATGGGAAAAAATATTTATACATTTCATAACTGTCAAGGGGCTAGTACCAAATATATACAAAAAGCTTATACAATTCAACAATATAAAAACAAACCAGTTTATTAATGGACAGCAGATCTGAACATACATTTCACTAAGGGGGATATGTGGAAGACCAACAGATAAATGGAAAATTGCTTATTGTTACTTCAAATAAGAGAGGTGCAGTTTAAAACCTCTACTGAGTGCACACCAGTGAGAATAGAATGCATTAAAAAGACTCCCAACAGGGCCTCCCTGAAGGCGCAGCGGTTGAGCACTGGCCTGCGAAGCTGCCTGCAGCCTCTGCAACGCTGGTTCCATCCCTGGCCGCCGGCGAGGGTCCCACATGGTGCACAGACCTCTCCTGCCGCCCGCTGTTCCCCTCAGCAGTGTACTTCTTCGTCAGTCTGCCTGTTCTTCTCCTGGCTCTGGTGAATTCTCTTACCCTCCCGCCCTTCTGACTGTACCCAGTGCTTGTATAAATAAACAAATAAATCTTAAAAAAGACTCCTAATAATAAGTACTGTGGAGATTGTGGAGAAAGAGCCCCATTATACTGTTGCAAACAGGTGCAGCCATTATGCAAAGAGATCTAGATTTGCCTTAAAAAGCTAAAAATGGAATTCCACTCTTTGGCATCTAGCCAGAGAACATGAAGCCATCAACTGGAAAATCTACATGCTCTCTAATGTGTATTCCAGTGCTACATAAATAGTTAGAATGTGAAAGCAACCTAAATACCCACTGATAGTTTGGATCAAAAAGTTGTGTTATATCTACATTTACAGAATATTGCTCATCCATAAGGAAAGATAAAATGTTGCCATCTGAAGAAAAATGGAAGGAGTTAGAGGGAATTATGTGTTGAAAGGCAAGTTATAATAACAAAGACAAATATTGGGGCCTCCCCAGTGGCGCAGCAGGTTGAGCGCTGCGCTGTGAAGCTGTCCGCAGCCTCTGCAGTGGGGGTTCGATCCCGGCCAGCCGGCGTGAATCCCACATGGCATGGCAGACCTCTCCTGTCGCACCACTGCTCCCCTCAGCAGTGTATTTCTGTCGTCTGCCTGTTCTGCTCCCTTCTCTCTCTCTGGTAATTCCTCTCACCCTCCCATGCCGCTGGCCTGTACCCCAGCTCTTGTGTAAAAATAAATAAACCTTTCAAAAAAAAAAACAAAGACCAATACTGGACTTTACATCGGGGAAAATTTTACAAGTGAAATACTCATGAAAACTAGCAGACATGAATAAATGAAGTGAGGTTTTGAGGTTAAGAGGGAAGTAGGAGGAAGAAAAGGTAACGGGTGTAAAGGAGGGTGGAAGGGGAGCAGAAACACAAAATTGAAGTCACAATGATAAACCAGTGAATAATGGCACAGAGTAGAGCATCAGGAAACAGTCCCTAACTGAACAGAAACTTAAAGTGACAGAGGCCACCAGGTGGTAACAGTATGTGAAGGAAAGTCTGTTCAAATAAGGATGCTGGTGGCACAGTTGTTATCCCTTTATAAGAAAATAAATTGAGGCCTCCCTGGTGGCGCAGTGGGTTGAGTGCCACGCTGTGAAGCTGTCTGCAGCTTCTGTGGCATGGTTTGATTCCCGGCCGGCCAGGGACATTCCCACATGGCGTGGCAGACCTCTCCTATGTCGCCCGCTGCTCCCCTCAGCAGTGTTTTTGGTCCATCCACCTGTTCTGCTCCCTGCTCTGTCTCTGGTGAATTCTCTCACCCTCCCACGCCTCTGGCCTGTACCCCAGTGCTTGTATAAATAAATAAATCTTTAAAAAAATAAATTGAATTTCTACTTAATTTGATATACAAAAATATAGTATCAATAGATCAAGACTTATACAGAACTATAAAGTTTTAAACTTATAGAGGAAATTAAGGGAAAGTATCCTTTTAATCTTGGGATATATGAAGATTCTTAAAATGAGAATCAAATTGCGTTTGCTCTTCAGTAATCACTAAGAAGTCTGTGAATTGTTTCCAGATACTTTTTTCCAGCCCATCTTCCAGCGCCTGGTTTTCATTTCCTTGGGAGTACTCTGCTCTGTCCTATTTGTGTATATCATTTTTCACTCAATATTCAAAGGTAAGTAAGAAAATGAGGATGGTCTGGTGATATGCTCTATGGTCCCAACAGGGTCAGGATCTGGGATGCTCCTGCACATTTCCCACATGGTTTCCTAGTGTCCTGGGCTCCAGGGGCACATTGCCTGGGCCATGGGGACCACAGCCCTTACCCTCCCCATGTTGATCTGAAATGGATCTTTTGGCAAATGCCAGCTTCCAAGAAGCCCAGCTTACTTTACTGACAATAAAGAATAGTAGCATAATTTTTAGTAATTATACAGCAAATATATTCTAAGAATATCACAAACCCCCCAAAAAACCTTTTTGACTTTCTCCTCTTTGGTGTGACACACCCATTGACAACCCATGTCTTAAATCCCACCTCCCATCCCAGTTTCCTTTCCCTGATAACCCCCGTCTCCATCTCCATAGGATCCCAGTTGTCAGTCCTCCTTCAGTGAGTGCATGCCTGATCTCTCATTTTTCCCGAGGTGGAGAATTCCAGCATGGGGTGCAAGGGGGGACACAAAGATGGGCAGTTACATAAGAACCCCTGTGCTCCACCAGGAGCTCAGTCCCCCCGGGGAAGGAGAAGGAATGTCTTTATACTACACATTCCTGTGTTCAACCTGAATATTTTGTTTCTGTTTCAGGGAAAATATGGGCAGAATTACATAAGTATATTATCAAGTTCTGAGCATCTCACATAGGTCTGCTGGTTCCTCTTTTGCATAGTTTAAGGCAGACTAGATAGGAAAAGCATGTGCAGGCCAGAGAGGGCAGCTGGTTCATGTTCCTCATCCATTAACTAAATTATTGATCCTCCGATATCTGGGGGATTCAAATGGAATCAGGATTTGGAAACAAACAGCCTATTAATGTCATGAAAAACTAGGAAAGGATGTTAGCCAGATTTTTTTTTTTTTTTTTTTTTTTTTTTTTTTGTGCTCTGCCCTGAGATTCTATTCTGTGATGTGAGGCTTTCTGTGTTTTTTTGTTTTCAGACCAGAGAAAGCATCATGGACAGGCAGGTGAGAAGCTTTTCCCTCCACACATGCCCATTTATGATTTTCTTACAAGTCTCTAGTTTACAAATTTTACAAGTTTAAAGATTTTTATAACTTGAGGTTATATCCACATGTCCCTTTCAGAGAAGTTGTTTTGTGAACTCTGAAATTGTAGATACTGGGGGAGGTGCATTTTGGAGCAAATCCCATGGCCTTCACCAGGCCTCTGGTTGGCTTGTGCAGGCAGTGAGGGCAGCTGGTTCACCCTCCCCATCGTTTAATTGATCCTTAGATATTTGGGAAATTCAAATGGGAATCAGTATTTGGAAACAAACTGCCTTCCATTGCCCCTCTCCCTGCCTCCTGCTCTTGTGTGTGAACTGATCTATTTGTTTTGTCTGCTAATTTTCAGAACTGAGAGAGGTGAAGAAACATGCAGGTACCAATAACCAAGGGCATGATAAGTGGGGGTAGGAGAGGGATTTGACCAGTGAGGATATGGAGACACAGAAGAACATTGAGGCCTACCTGGCTTACAGATGATGAATCTATGAGATCCCTACTCACCCAAGGATGCAGCTCCCCAGACAAATTTCTCAACCCAGGACTAGGAGGTGCTAGTGACTGGCCAAGGGGCTGGAATGAAGGGGAAGGAGGTAAAGTTGGGCAGGAACTGAGCATAGGAAGAAACTGGGTAGTGGTTATTGGAAGCTTCACAAAGTTAAATAATAGGTTTACATGGTAGGACAGTAGAGTTGGGGTGATACACAGGATTTAGGATCTCAGAGTTAGGCACCTAGGCATGGTTAGGTTCTGAGGCTACACTGGAGATGAGAGAGGGACTGGAGGGGTAGTAGCTGATGGACACTTTGACGCTGAGACCTCAACTGATCCTATGCAGAGCCAGTTTGCAATGGGACCTGGGCCCAACCTAGCTCCCTCCAGATTAACTCATACTTTCTCTCCTCCCCATCCCACCAGTCCAGGTGACTCTGGGCACAGACACCAGTGGAAGTGATTCTGGACACAGACATTGTTCACCAGTGGAGGTGACCCTGGATACAGGCACCAGTGGGGATGACTTTGGACACAAACACGGTTCACCAGTGGAGGTGACTCTGGACACAGACATGGCTCACCCCCAGCTCTACATTTCTGGTCTGAAATCTGTGATATATAGGAAAACACTCAAAGTGATGCCCTACTTGGAGAAGAGATTTAATAGCATGTGTGTGGTGGCTATTCAGTGTTTCCGGGCAGGAAAACATTACTGGGAGGTGGATGTGGGACACAATGAAAGGTGGTATTTAGGTGTATGCCGGGATGATGTGGACAGGGAGGAAGAGAATGTGACTTTATCTCCCAACAATGGATACTGGGTTCTTGGAGGGGAGAGAGATCAGTATTTCACACTCTATCCCCATAGAATCAGCCTCTGTCTGGGGTTCCCTCCTACACGAGTGGGGGTCTTCCTGGACTACGAAGGTGGGACCATCTCCTTCTACAATACAAATGATCAGTCCTTCATTTGCACCCTGACACATCAGTTTGAAGGATTATTGAGGCCCTACATCTGGCATCAGAAATTAGATGAGGAAATGTGACTCCCATTGTCATGTGTTCTGTGTCCCAGGAATCAGAAAGGAAGTCTCTTTTCAGAGGGTGCCCACTCCCCCAAATGTGGACAATGTAGAACTCTGTGACCACACCCTTCCTTTCCAGGAGTGATGCCCAGGGGCAAATACACCTCATATTCTCCTTTAAGAACCTGAGGGATCTCTCAGGCACAGAACTTGTCTGTCCATGTGGGAGTCAGGGCTCATGACTGCTATGAAGTAGGGAAGGAAGAGACTGAGAGTGAATTCAGTTTGCACAAACACTCTGCAGATGACCTTTAGCAATTTACAACCTTTCAAGTTCCTCACCTGTTAAACAGAGACAGGGATTTCCACCTTAGGGTCATAGTGCTGTTAAACAGAAAATAAATATCAATCACCTTGCATCTTGTCAGTGACATAATGCTTGCTAATGATATGTTTGCTAAATAAAGAATTTCCAGTATGATCTGTTTATTCCATATAAATTCATATTTCTCTATCCTAAAATACCCATAGTATCAGCACCTTTTCTTTGTCAAGGCCAGACTATTGAAGAGGAAGGAGAACTTCCCAACTCACTCTATAAAGACAACATTACCCTGATACCAAAATCAGACAAAAATATTAAAAAATATAAAGAAAACTACAGATGAATATCCCTCAAGAACATAGTTGCAAGAACTTAAATTTAGCAAATCAAGTAAATAATGTACGCCAATTGTGTCTATCCCAATGAAGTGATGTTTTAATATTCAAATATCAACCAGTATAATTTACATTAACAGACTAAAAAGCAAACAACATGATTATTTCAACAGATGTAGAAAAGAACATTTAACAAATCCAACATCCATGAGTGATAAATTTTATCAGCAAAGAAAATATTAGAGATGACTTATAAACACATGAAAAGAATTCAACATCATTAGTGGTTAAGAAAATGCAAATTAAAACCACAATGACATACCATTTTCACCTATTAGAGCTGGTTAAATTAAAACAGGACAAACCTGGGATATGGGGTTTAACCCAGATGGTGTGTCCTTACCTGCACTTAAGGATGCAGGACATGACCCCAAAGCAGACATATGATGAGAAACATCCTAACAGGGTTTGCTTACACAGGGACTAATAAAAGGGAGAGAAGGGAGGAACAAGAGGTGAGAGAATGTATAGGCTGCCACGTGGCCAGATGCCATCTGCCCTGCCCCAGATGGCATACACTGAGTGTAGATGGAGGTCCAAGAGGAAGCTGCCTGTGGCAACCTGAAGTCTTCCAGCAGTTTACCTGCCAAAGCTCTAGCTGTACAATTGACAAAGCACTAGCCAGCTTAACTGCCAAAAGCCTCAACTTCTTCCCCTAAGCCCTCACTCAGAGGTTGGATTTTGGGAAGTTCTGCCTTTTACCTTTCAGTTGGTTTTGATCACCACCCAGAGGTTGTGCCTCATTGTTACTCTTACAAAATTAAAAAGACAAATCACACCAAATATTGGAGAGGATTGTGGGACTGAAAATCTCATACACTACTGACAGGAATATAAAATGGCCTAACACTTCAGAAAACAGCTTGGCCATTTCTTTAAAATTTAAATAACCCCTTACCATGTGATCCTGCTAAGTATTTCCACTGTAAGTATTTTACTCAAGAGAAAAGGAAACACATGTCTCTGTAAATTTGTTTGTGATTGTTCACTACAACTTTATTTGTAGTAATCAAACACTAGATAGCCCAGATTCTCATCCATTAACAGATGAATGGATAAATAAATGTGTTACATCCATGTACTTGAATAATATTCAACAGTAAAAAAGAATGAATTATTGACAATACACAAAACAAGGATGAAGTCAAACTAATTTTTCCAAGTGACAAGACAGAAAAATGTCCTCCAAAACAAACAATATACTGTTTATTATCACTTATATAAAACATATAAATGCAAAGTAATCTACATTGACAGCATTTACGTGGAGGGGAGAGCAGATAGAAGGGATTGCAAACAGGCACAAAGATATTTTCAAGGTGAGGAATGTTCACTTTTTCCCCTTTGGGTTGATAGTTTCATAGATAAATAAATCAAATGTTATTGATTAAATAATTTAAACATGTACAGTTTATTTTATGCCAATTATGCCTCAATAATTGTTCTTTAAAATAAGCAAAAAAAAACAGCAAAGTTATAGTTTTTTTGTTTGTTTGTTTCAATTATAAAAGGGATGGTTTTCTTGATTTCTTTTTTTTTTTAAGATTTATTTATTTATTTATACAAGCACTGGGTACAGTCAGAAGCACAGGAGGGTGAGAGAATTCACCAGAGACAGAGCGGGGAACAGAACAGGCAGACTGATGAAATACACTGCTGAGGGGAGGAGTGGGCGTGGCAGGAGAGGTCTGTCACGCTATTTGGGACACTTGCCAGTGGCTGGGGATCGAACCGGCACTGTAGAGGCTGCTGGCAGCTTCACAGCCCAACGCTCAACCACTGTGCAACCAGGGGAGGCCCCCAGTTTTCTTGATTTCTTCTTCAGATTGGTTGTGTATAGGAAGGCTACTGAATTTTGTGTGTTGATTTTGTATCCTACTACTTTACTGAACTGGTTGATTATTTTGAGTAGCTTTTCTGTGGAGTTTTTAGGGTTCTTTATGTATGTTATCATATCATCTGCGAATAGTGATAGTTTTACTTCATCTTTCCCTATTTGGATTCCTTTTATAATTGAAACAAAAAAATCAAAAACTTGGGAATAAACCTAACAAAAGAGGTGAAAGACCTATGCAAAGAAAATTATAAAACACTGTTAAAAGAAATTGAAGAAGACACAAAGAAATGGAAAGACATCCCCTGCTCATGGATTGGAAGAATCAACATTATTAAAATGGCCATCCTCCCAAAAGCAATATATAGATTCAATGCTATTCCAATAAAAATCTCAATGACATTCTTCAAAGAAATAGAACAAACACTGATGAAATTCATATGGAACCACAAAAAACCATGAATAGCCAAAGTCCTACCGATGAAAACAAAGAAAAGGAGGTATCACACTTCCAAACTTCAAGCTATACTACAAAGCCATAATAATTAAAACAGTTTGTTATTGGAACAAAAACAGACACGTAGACAATTGGAACTGAATAGAGAGCCCAGAAATAAAGCCATATTTATATGAACAACTAATCTTTGACAAAGGAGCAAAGACTATGCAATGGAACATGGACAGTTTGTTCAATAAATGGTGCTGGGAAAACTGAACCTCCACATGCAAAAAAATGAAACTAGACCACTACCTCTCACCATGCACAAAAATCGACTCAAAATGGATAAAAGAACTGGACATAAGACCTGAAACCATAAAATATATAGAAGAAAATACAGGTAAAACACTACAAAACATACATCTCAGAAACATCTTTAAAGACTCATCACCCAAAGCAAAGAAAGTCAAGGAAAAGATAAGCACGTGGGATTACATCAAACTGAAAATCTTCTGTACAGACAAAGAGACATTAACCAAAACAGAAAGACACCCACTGATTGGGGAAAAATCTCTGCAAGCCATTCAACTGATAAGGGACTGATGACAAAGATATACAAAGAACTCACTCCACTCCAGCTCAACAAAAAAAATAAATAAATAAACAATCCAGTCAAGAAATGGGCAGAAGAGAAATTTTGTGTATCTGCAACACACCTAGACTGCATGGAGCTGGGAAAGGGCTGCACCCACAGCCAGAGGTGAGCTGAAAAGCCCCCACAAGCCAGACCCCATCTGGCTGCCAGAGCCCAGAGGGGGATCCAGTCAGCACTGGACAGACCACGGGAATAAGGAAGTGCCCACCTGACTCCCCATCTTAGATCAGGGAACTTTGGCATGTTTGCAACACACCTAGACTGCGTGGAACTAGGAATGGGCTGCACCCACAGCCAGAGGTAAACTGAAAAGCAACCACAAGCCAAGACCCATCTGGCCACCAGAGCCCAGAGGAGGATCCAGTCAGCACCTGGGCAGACTGCAGGTGCACGGAAGTGCCTTCCCGACTTGCCATTTTGGATCAGGGACCTTTTGTGTGTCTTAGACTTAGACTGCATGGAGCTAGGGAAAAGCTGTCCCCATAGCCAGAGGTGAGCTGAAAATCCTCCACAAGCCAGGCCCCATCAGTCTGAGCCCAGAGGGGATCTAGCGATTTGGAGCTCAGCAGGCAATCCTGCCACCACAGGGTAGATTGTGGAACCATAAGACCCTCATTGAAATTCAATAAATACAGAAGGAGGAGATTCTCTGTGAGAGTGACCACTAATATATTCATTGTTTTACTGACCTACCGGAATTCAGACATAATAGTTTATGACTCAATTGGACCACTAGTTTCTGACATCCCAGAAAGAAGACACCAAAAAGATGCCGGCCAGTACCAGTGAAACAGTGTCCCAACACATAGGACAAATTAGAAAACAAGCAGCAGGGAGAAGAAAAACTACAAGCAACCAAGCAAGTTCTCAGGGAGAAGACACAACACAAAAAGAAAACCACCCACTAGATTTCAAAAACAGTGACTTGGAAGAACTTCTGAGCCTTCCAAAAAGAGAATTTAAAATTGCCGTAGTTAAAAAACTGACAGAAGTCATTATGGAAAACAACGATCAGAAGAATGAAATTGAGTCCCTAAAGAGGAAAGTGAAGGAAATGCAGGAGATCAAAGGATTAACAGAAGAGCTAAAGAACTCTGGGAAAAGCAGTGATAACAGAATAGATGAAATGGAAGAACGAATAAGCACTCTCAAAGACACAGAAATAAAAAGAGAGAGAGAGAGAGAGAGAGAAAAGGAAAGAGAATTACAAATGAAAAAGACTGAAGAAAGACTTTGGGAACTATCTGACTCTATGAGGAAAGGAAATATAAGAGTTATAGGAATCCCAGAAGGAGAGGAGAGAGTCCTAGGAACAGAGGAAATATTCAAGGAAATAATTGAAGAGAACTTCCCAAACGTGAAGAATGAGCTGAAAATAGACATATAAGAAGAAAGAAGAACAACAAACTTCCATGATGAAAGGAAAAATACAGCAAAATACATAATAGTAACGCTCTCAAGA